TGAGTAATACATTTATTAAAAGATTGAACTATTTTAGTAAATTTGTATTAAAAAATTATACATTTATTATCATTATTAATTTGTGTTAGAATACTTAAACTGCAATTAGTGTGGGATAAAGGGTATTTGAGACCAACATGCATGTGTTTTCTGTTGCTTATATTTAGAATCGGAAGAAGTATTACCGATGCTATGTGACATAATTAAATAATTAAGTTGTTCTTTAAAATTAATGACGTAAATAGTTAAAAATACTCATTATTTTATAATTTTTTTCATGTTATATGTATTTCTTGTTTGTACTGTTATGATTTTCGCCGACTCAAGATTTTGCATATGCTAGGAATCAAACATAAAAGTTCTAGTTGAATAGATAAGTGTAAGGGTGTAACTATTAATTACTTGAAATACATATGTGTGACTAAATATTATTGGATAATAAATAGTATATAATTAAAATAATTATCATAATTTTATACGGTTAAATTAAATTTAAATACACATTATGAGAGTGGATAGTTTATTAATGCTTTTATAAGCATTTATGGAGCTTTGACACTTCTCGTTATGCTTGTTGGTTTGTGGTCATAATTTTACCTAAACTTATTTAATTAAGATATAAAAAAACTAAAAATGATTGGATAATGGCAGTCGCAGCCTATACACGAGTGTGTAGGGGTTTTTAGGCAATCGATCTATAAAATATTTTATAAGAGGGAATCAATTAATCAATCTATGAAAAGGATTGATTTGATTTTTTTATAAATGTGAATTGATTTTTTTTAAATTAAATCAATTTAGTGTAGTGTAATTATTTATTTTTTATTTATATATAGATCGATTTTAAAAAAAAATTAAATCGAATTGAATCGATATATTTTGTAAAAATAGATCGGATAATTAAATTAATTTTATAAAGTGAATTGATTCGAATTTTTTTAAAAATTAAATTAAATTTTTTTATATAATTTTTTTTTTAAATAAATCAAATTTTTCTATACAGATCAAATTAACGAAAGATTAGTTTAGATTAATTTGAATTTTTTACGCTAGTGTGAGATTGGATTTTTTACACACTCCTACGGGTGAGTCTGTATCGACATGACAAGAGCTGTGTTATTTGTTTTTAGATGTTGACCTTCATTTCATGCATGTTACCCATTGCAAAAATATTGCGTTGTACACAACTGACCAACGCAAATTCCAAACACCTAATTAAAAATAAGGCATATTGTTAAAAGCTAATCATTGCACACCACGAAAAATTACACTAAAAATAATACATTTTCATTTTACTAAAATCATCTAAATATTAATCGTTGATAATAATATAATATTTTGAATATTACTTGTAATAATTTTTGTACATAATTTTTTTTTTTTTACTTGCAGTGGAATGACGAAAGTAAGTTAAAAATAAAGGGTTCTCATTAATTTCTTATAAGATTTATAAATAAAAAAAAAAAACCTTTTAAAACATGGTCTACGAAATCATACATTAATTAAAGGTAATTTACATATATAACATGCATTAATCTTGTAAATTGTTGTCTATTTTCACTATCAATCACAAACAAAGGCCTTTCTTCTTATCTAAAACATATACAATTACAAAAAATTGTATTTAAGAACTTATTTGTGTGATATGCAAGTCTTCCACAGGTCATTTCCGATAATAATTGATAACATAACTAATAAGTTTTTAAGTGAGAATAACATAAAATTTTTGTGATAAAAAAGATGTTGAGGAAAGAACTTTGTTAAACATTCTAAAATGTTATATTTATAAGAAAAAAAAATATTTTAAATACCAAATCAAGAACATGAGGTAGCAATAATTCTTAAAAGACCAAGTCAAAGGATAAGATAAGAATTAGTTTGAATGACCAAGTCAACAAGACCAAATTTAATTAAAAATACATTTTATATAAAAATTAAATTTTATAATAATTTCCAAGCCTTAATTAAATAAATATTGTTAATCTTTTTAAAATATCACTCAAAATATACGACAATCCCCACATAATTCAAAAAGATTAAAGAAAGGATTTTAAGAAAACAAAAGAATTCTTTGGATTCTCTTTCTCTTGGATGTAATGTGTCGAATCTAGTATAGCAAATTATATAAACCAAACCTATATGGATAAGACTTAACACACAATGTAGTTGGTATAACAAACTATATGAATCAAAAGAAAAATTGTTTCTCAAAATCATCTCAAACTAAGTCAACAGGTCAAGAAGATAAGGTAACAATAATTTTTAAAAGACCAAGTCAAAGGAATAAAATAAGAATTGGTCTAAATGACCGAGTCAACAAGATCAAATTTAATTAAAATATATTTTAAATAAAAACTAAATTTATAATAATTTCTAAACCTTAATTAATAAATATTATTATTATTTTTAAATATCACTCAAAATAAACGATCATTAATACCTTATGACACTTTTAATTAATCAAGTAAACTATTAATAAACTTATAAAATATTTCTCACCCAAAATATTTTGCTACACATCAGAGACTAATTAGCATTAAAATTAGTTGTGACATTGTCATAAAATAAATAAAATTTACCTTATGACACGTGAGGCTTGTATCAGAACCCTCGTTGGACTTGCCCTCCGACTGGAACCCTGAAGATGAACTGTGACGGGGCAATGACACGAGATGGTGAGGCCTTTGGTGGTGGAGTGGTCAGAAATTTTAGTGGAGACTTTGTGGTCGCTTTCTCTGTTCGATTGGGGCGTTGCTCTATTATTGAAGCTGAACTTAGATCAATATTGTATGGTACTTATATTTTATTGGATAGAAATATGGATCTAGATACTTTGGTTGAATTTGATTCATATGATGTAGTGAAACTTCTCAATGAAGGTTGCTCAAGGACCCATCCTTGCAGTCATGTTGTTCGGAAAATAAGAGAATTGTCATCTAAGCTTCCTAGTTTTTCATGTTCCTACATTGGCAGAGAGGCCAACTTAGTCGCGGATTCATTATCTAAATGTAGTGTGCCTTTATTGGAGGAAATTCTCATTTTTGAGTCCCCTCCATCCTTTATTACTTCCTTATTGCTTGCAGACTCCTCTGCTATTTTTTTTCAAGTTAATGATTAGTGTTTTTGGACTTTTAGCCCCCTTGCTTACCAAAAAAAAAAAATATATATTTTAACATGTTTTTAATCAAAATCAATTTATGTATAAAAAAAAATTTAGTAATGTACCCAAAAAATTACTATCAATTTAAATAGTTTATTTATTTTTGGTTCATATATTGAGCACAAAATTAGTGACATGTTAGGATCCTTATATCAAAAGCTTACCATCTATAGTACTAAAATTCAATAGTATCCCAGTTAATCCAAAATTTTACTTGTTGAATTGAAGATTAGAAGAGATCTACCAGAAAAGTTTCACCTTTATTATATAAAAAAATCTCCTTAAATAGATATGTCCCAAAGTAGGTGTGGGGGTTTAGTTGAATTAAAAATAGTCTCACATTCACATTCACCTAAGTGTGTTCCATGTGGCACCTAACGTTCCACGTATACCGTTAACATGCTAAATTAATTATGCCATGCATTAAACAAACTTTGCTACACATCAGAGACTAATTTATGTACACGCAATCTTTTGAGGACGAAATTGATGTAAATTACTACTTTTGGGGATCAGAGAGATTGTATAAACAGTGTCATTGATAGAGTCGTTAATAATTGATAGTATACGTATACAACATGTACATTTGAGAGGAAAATAATAACAAAGAAACACATATTTGCTGCATGATAATTAGTTTCAATTTTTTTTTTGTTTTTCCAGCAAGCATTTTGTGAGAAAGATGGTACAAGAGATTTGACATGGGCATGGAAGATGCAAAGAGAAGAAAGTGTATGTAGGCAATGAAATTCGTATAGAAATTACCATAATCTTGTTTATGGCTAAGTATTGAACAATTTTTCGGGTTTGAACTCTGGTTCTGAAGCATGTGACTGACAAAAAGATTAGATCTCTTCCTTCTTCTGATTCACTTGAGAATTGTAACAGGCGGAAACAATTTCCACTATGAGATTCCTAGATTCATGACATTGTTCAAGGTGGTTGTTTTTGGTGCAGTGTTGGACATTGAGAAAAAGTAACATTGGAGTATTGGACCATCGGATTTTATTCATGATGTCTAAATCTGCTTGGCACATTTGATGCAATAAATGTCGGGAGTGAGGTTCTTTTCAGAATTTGAAACTTGTTTGTGGAAACTGGAAAAATGTGATGATTCGAAAATGGGTTTGGTCTAAAATTGCATACAGTGTTTCTCTGTAGAAAGTAAGAGGAGAAAACAAGCCAAAAAATTTCCTTTCTCACAATCTTTGGTAGTTACTTATACAAAAAATTGATATGCAGTGAGAGACTATTAGAAACAATAACCTTGACGAAGTGTTATTGTTATGTTTCTTATGCTCAAATATACAAATATACAATTCTATTCAAATATGAAAATATACAATTATGCTCAATCCTAAGTTTGAGCAGAATTGTATATTAATTTTTATATTTCTATATCTGTTCTGTATATAGAACCAAAACCTTATGTTCAATCCTTGGAATTGTACATTTGTATACAAAATCTTAGGACTTGAAATCCTTTGGTACATATCACACTAAAGACTTCAATTCCTAAGATTTTGTATCATCAAAGTTAAATATCAATTATGCATTTTGTTTGTGTTATTTGTATTGAGACCTATATTTTAGGTTCATTGAAGCTGACCTGAGTATTTTTTAAGCCTTAGTCATATTTAATATTTGGTTTGTGATTAGGATACTTAACAATGGAGGAGAATGAACAAGAATCACGACCATTGGCTTTTACTCCAACATGGTCTATTGCTGTTGTCTTAACATTTTTCCTTGCTTTTTCCTTGCTTCTAGAGCGTGCCATTCACCATTTAAGCGATGTAAGTGTTTTTAGAATCTTTATTTAGCTTTTGTTGTGTTATGATGATTTTGAATAAACTTCTCCATTCACTACTACATATATACCATTTTACATCGGTTATTAAACATTATTTACATCGGTTCTAAAACCGATGTAGAATAGAGTGACGTAGTATATGTATACTATTTTACATCGGTTCTATATAAAACCGATGTAAATTTGTGCATAATTTTACATCGGTTCTATATATAACCGATGTAAATTTGTGCATAATTTTACATCGGTTTTATATATAACCGATGTAAATTTGGTACAAATTTACATCAGTTATTCATAAAACCGATGTAAACTTGTCTCCATTTGCTTCATCATGAGTAGCCGTAGCAAGTGCTGAATCCGCAACAGGTGCAGCAGATTTTTCTGAAGTTGGATCAGCAGCTGCATCAGCTACCTTTTTGGTTATGGCATCACCGCCTGATTTAGACGGACCAGCACCTTCTTTGGTGCCATCAAAGATTTTATTTGAGTGCACAACAACAACTGCATCAGCAACTTGAGTATTTAAGGCCTCACCGCATGATCCAACACCTGCTTTGTTGCCTTCACGTACATGTTCACCAGCTGCTGTATTGTCCATGCTTGCATTCACGTCGAATGACTCAGCTGCACCAACCGTCATCATGGCATCTGCACCGCCAGCTGAATTAGGCACCGCTATTGATCCACCCCCACGATAAAGGTCCTGACCAGCAGCTTTCTGAACAGCAGAGGGTGCACCAGCTGCTTGATTACGTTAAAAAAAAAGTTTGATCAGCAAAACACAGGGAATTAAATGGAAAGGAGAAGTAATGAAAGCAACCAATACCACTTAGTCAGGGAAGTCATAAAAAATCCTCGAAATATAGTCTCCTCAAGGAGTGGAGCAAGAACCCCTGTGATGCCCACCAAGCAGGCAGTGCTACAATGAAAATAAACACAATCAGTCCCATACTTGAGAATCTGGGATATCTGACACAGGTAGGAAATTTTGACAATTTTTTTTCATTGATATAATCAGTCCCATACAATGATAGCGAAGACTGCATTAAACCATCCACCTAAGTCAAGTTGATGCATAAGTATAACTTCATTTAAACCAACTAGGAGAACAATAACTTGTGAGATATCCAAGTACCCAACCACACACGGGTAACATGGAATCTAGAAAAATGAGCAGTTCCACAAGTATGATGATAGCCAGAAAACATAATTATACCCTAAATTGAGTCATGTGATATGAATATTTTTTTCCAGTCATGAGGGATAACATGTAATCATTCTACACACACGACACTGTCATATTGACAGAGCATGCAGCAGGAGTTCCATTGTTGATTGACGATTTGATATGCATTTTCAACAATGTTTTTTTCCAGCCAAATTTTAACTAATGGAATTTATAATAGAAAGCACTAATGACTGCAACGAACAAACTCCACAGCAGCTAGTGTAGCAGTACCTCTAAATTCACCAGAGAAACAAACAAGTGTAAACAACAATAACAAAAAATAAGCAAAGACAAAAGTAACCTGAGATAGAGAGCACATGAGCTTTGGCCAAGCAAGTAGTCACAAACAATATCAGCAAACGCCCATCTAACATTCCTAATGTGTTTAAGCAAGGGATTTCCCTTCTGCAAAACGGAAAAGAAAATTCACTTCAAGACACTAATAGAAAAACCTTAACAAAATTATTTCCAAAGTCATGCAGGACAAAAATGAACATAAGCATTTAATTAGAATGCCATGAAACCATAGTGATCATCATCACTCCAGCGAAGAACCCTCATTTTAGTAAACAAAGGTGGATTTCTTCCCAAGTATAGATTCTGAACAACAGCTTCTTTCTGCAAAATATAGTACAGGGATATCAAACTCTGATACACCAAAAGTCAAGATATCAATTTTATATTCACAAAAACTGCATCTTTCTTGATAAAAGTTGAATAGAGAATATGAAATTCATATCACATAATTTTCAAGAAAATGGTCAAAATTCATATTATGATCAACCACAATCAAAGACAAATAACCGAACAGTACGAGTCATTCAGCAGTCCAAGGTTTGTATTTCTCTAAGAACCACGGAATGATAGGGAGTAAAATATTCTGAGAGGCAATCTTTTCCATACATATGGGCCATATGTTTTCAACTGCATGGTTCAACCACCAGACTGTTTCAGAATCCGAAAGCACCTAGTACAAAAGAAAAAAGGACATTGCCAGTTATATCAGAAAATCATCATAGAACAATCCTTTGCAATTAGAATATGAGCATGTTTAGATACAAGTCTAGATGAGCTTTTAAGAGCTTCTATACTAAAAAATACTCTTTATTGAGCTCTCAAAAATTTGTTTAAATTGTATCCAAACAGAGCCTATGACATCTCAAATTTAAACTTTCAATGATAAATAAAATATACCTAAATGAACTGATATTAATTTACAAATATATATATATATATATATATATATATATTAACTACTGGGGAATATTTTTTTTCTTATTACTACAGTTTTAATCATTTCTTTATTTAATTAAGTCATATAATTTTATTTTCATCATCAAAATGAAAGCATTTTTTTTCAAAGGCATCAAAAAGAAAACTAATTAGCTTATCACTCAATATAATCTTATTGATAAGTAATATTGTAATAATCCATTCATGAATGTGGATTCTAACTTCCTTTCTAAGGATCACTTTCAGTTTCAAGTTAAGGGAACAACTAAACTTCAAAGAAGAATTTATTCAGACATTAGTTTGTTTTCTTCATTCACCACTGCTTAGTGTTTATATACTTAAAAAACTCATTAAGCTACTATTTTCCCCTAAAACTTCATGATTCACAAAATCAAATAACCACACTAAAACCAGCAGAATTACCCTTCTTTGGTTGGCTTGCTTCCTCTCCTCAAACTGCAACTTCTTCCGCAGCCTCGTAACATAACGCTCATGAACCTTACCCAAAAAAAAATAGATCAAAGTCAGAAACATAATAATATTCCCCATCCTTTTCTCTTGCCTTTAAACAAACACTACAAAGCAGAAAAAATCCAAAACACGATTCCAGTACCAAGCCCCTTATTGTTTATTTTCTTTCCACATCATCAAGAATGCAAAAACAAATATAAAAGGCAAAGAAAGCAAATAATGAATATCCAAAGAAAAGTTGCCAAAATCTCCGACCATGATTCTCACCAGGTAAAGATATATCAAAGCTACAAAATAAACAATCGGGTGGCACCAATTGAATGCAGAGAGGAGCCATAAATAAAGGGTTTTCGTGCGAACTCTTCAACTTTCACTAATACCGGAAGCTCTCGTAGAATCAAAAGTTTGAAAGCGGAAAACAATAACATACCCGCAGGAGTTAGGGTTTTCCGATGATGATGTTTTTCACGGTCTGAGAAGAGTCTGGGTGCTTACTATTAAGGAGTTAGGGCTTTCTTTGGAGAACGATGGGAATCAACTCGGTGCAGGTCACGTGACCTACAGCTCGACCTTCATTTTTGAAACTTCATCTACCCACATCTCTATGTGCCCGCAGCACTTCCATACGGAGAAAGATAGGCTTACCATGTTCCATCAATAGCACCTAACCTATGCCGATTTTGGCGGACTGTGCTCCACCCCGGTGAACTCATGCGATTTCGACGTGCCAGAGGCCAGAGGTGAATCCATTGGACTTTCTTCGGAGAGGAAGGAGGGAGGCTTTCTTTGGAGATGGCATGGCGGCTTTGTTTGGATATGGCGCACGCGGGGAGGGAAAGTTATCCAATTCTACATCGGTCATAAAGTGAACCGATTTAGATATCTTTATGTTTTTCCTCTTATTTACGAAATTGCCACCGCACTTTTACTACTACATCGGTCTTCCATTAAACCGATGTAGATTTGCTTTACATTCTTCAAATAATTACAAAAATGCTACAGCATTTTGGTTTTACATCAGTTTTATTAAAACCGATGTAGAATTAGTGACGTAGATGAGTCATTTTCTAGTAGTGATTAACACTTTTAAGAGTGAAAAATAGAAAGAAAAATGAAATAATTTTTTCCATAGTTATAAAATTAGTTTATACTTAAATTGATTTGTAGAAGCTCTCTCTTGATAACTTCTCCAAAATCTTAAAGTTAGTTTTAGCAAACCTAAGTTTGTCTATAACATGCTATCAAACTTGTTACTGAATTGAGTTCATTTATATGTTGCAATAAATTATTCATTTGTAGATCTACTTCATCTCTTACATATACAAATTTATTTTAATGTGCATTGAATAGACTACAAAGAAGCTCTCTAACTCTACTTCACAATGCAATCTATGAATTTCTTTCTTTTATTCTTTTGGTTGAAGTTTGGTTCTGCCTATTTATTTTCTAAATATTAAAAATATATCTGACTTGAAAAATATCACCCAGGATAAAATTCAAGAGGGACTAAGGGAAAGGGGTTCTTAGAGCTTCCTTTCTGATTTGCTTTCCTTGTGATGCCAACAAATCATCAACAGAATTGAAAATTAATGTATTTTTGTATAAAGTGCCATTTTATTTGCATCCGTTTTTGGTGATCAAAGTGCCATGTTGCCCTTACTTTTTGTTCACACTATGATAAGATCAAAAGTATACCGTATGGTGGCTAACTAGGCCGAATACCCGAGTTCGTGGCCGACTAGGCCGAATACCCGAGTTCGTGGCCGACTAGGCCAAATACCCGAGTCCGTGGACGACTAGGTCGAATACCCGAGCCCACCGACCACTCATAATCTGAACGGAACGTATCGGTGTGGTCGGCCAAGTCACGGATTTACGCCAGGATAATTATGGAGAGGTTAATTTATGTAATGCACCGGATTAGCCCCCTAATTTCCCGGGGCCCAGTCCTTAATCGCGGCCCAATAAGAATCACTATAAATAGGACCCCATCGAGGTACGTAACTAACTTTCACTTACTGCATTTACTACGCCGAGCACTTACTTGAGCGTTGGAGTGTCTTTGCAGGCACATCCCCCCTCACTTCGGACTACCCGGATAGGAACGAGAAGACCGAGACCCAGGACCAGACCCGCTACAACAAGGATAATTGAAGTGTGTATCCTAGCACAGGAACAAAAAGTAACTATGTTGATTACATGTATGTTTGAGTAGACTTCTGCATAAGCTGATAACCACTTATGCAAGAAGAAAATAAAAAGAAAAAATGAAATAAATTTTTCCAAAAATTAAAATTAGCTTATACATAAACTAATTTGTAAAAGTTCTATTGTATTAATTTCTCTAAAGACTAATTGTTAACCTATGTAAAAACTAATTTTAACTTATACAAAAACTTATTTCATATTTTATTCACCTAAATGTATTTACAGATAAGTTTATTCAAACATGTTTTAGGTCCAAACAAGGGCACTTCTATAAAGTTTAATCACTTAACATGTTTAATTGTTAATTAAACTTGATCACAGTGTTGAAGTAAATGGTTTTTTTTATGGTTATAGTGGTTGAAGAAAACGAATCAAAAGCCCTTTCTTGCAGCATTGGAAAAAATGCAAGAAGGTATCATGCATTAATTAAGTTTTACTACAATCCTTTTTTATAAGCAAGTTTGATCCCTTGGTGCTTACTGACTTTTCTACAATGATCTAATTTTATTTAACATTTATCTTTTCCTATTTATCAACTCTCACAAGTTCACAATTTTATTTAATATTGATCTCAGAGATGCAACTGCTTGGATTTGTATCACTTCTATTAATAGCTACCTCAGACGTGATAGCAAATATTTGCATTTCAGAGAAGTTCTACAATGATGCTTTTGCTCCATGTACTAGATCCGAGATTGCTAAAGAAACGGAAAATAATGACACAGAAGAGCATAAATTGTTGATGGCTTCCAATAACCCACACGTAATTAGGAGAATATTGGATGACATAAAAAAAAATCTTGCAATGAGGTATGACTTCTTGGAAAGTTTCAAATCGCTTGTCTCAATTCTTGAAGTACAACTTATATTCTGTAGGAAAACTTCACTTAATGTCAATTAGTTTTAAAGTAAAATCAAACATAATATCAGAGTCTATAATCCATCTTGATAAACCGCCTATCAGAATAGGCGATTTAAGATAAAATCTTGGTAAATTACTTGTCTCAATCCTTGGAGTACACCAAATGTTAATTGGTTTTAAGATAAAAATCTAACAAGATATCAGGGCCTATAATCCATCTTGGTAAATCGTCAGTTCTAGTAGGCTTGCCTGTTCTAGCAGACATGTGGATGGAGGAAGGGTGTTGGAAAGTTCTATATCGCCTATTTCAATTCTTAGGGTGCAATTTATATATCTATAAGACAACTTTACTTAATGTCAATTAGTTTTAAGATAAAATCTAACATGACTAATACCTTTATTATTGTGGCTTTTACTGTTATGAATTAATGGATGCCAACTTGGAATTTGTTCTTTTGCTCAGGGTTATGAACCTTTTGTTTCACATGAAGGTCTAGAGCAATTGCATCGTTACATTTTTATCATAGCTGTAACACATATATCTTTCAGTTGTCTCACAATGTTGTTAGCAATTGTGAAGGTGAGATATTCTCTATAGTAAACAAGGTCTGGCTTCCACACATTATCACTATTGAAAAATGAGCATAACATAATATTCTGCAATACACTGGTTTGAATGTTTAATCCACATGTTCATGTTCTTTAATATGCTTATACATGGAAACAATGTAGATTACTTCGAGTCATTCTAAATGTGGGATTTGATCCAACCTGTAATTTATTTGTGCTATCAGGGGAAGATAATCCTTAGCAAGATTTGGGTAAACTACTTTCAGCTAATTAATGTTACTACTAAGTTGAAGAAGGTGAAAATTAATGAACTTGTTATTAAAATATTGAAAAATTTAAAAGAAAGAAAGAAAAATACCATAAAATAAGACAAGATTGTATATGTTACTAAAGGCTATACACAATGTTCAGTTCCCTTTAATGCAACTTATTAAACTTTGAAATTTCTTTAGCTTGCACAAGGTAATTAAAATTTGATAGAGAGCTCCACCAATGTTAAAGAACTTTGAGATTCCTCCCTTTCTAGAATGGTTAACCATTCGAACTAAAGGTGTGCATGTATCCCTTAGTGAACAAAGGTATTTTTAGACACAAGATTAAAAATGTTTGTGAGCAAAGAATAAGACGCTTTCTCCGAGGATCAAGTTCTTCAAAGGTGGCACAAGGTTTTAGGGTGGATGATGATGGAATGGACGAAAATGGAAGTTGGGTAGAAGGTGTTTGAGGAAATGCTTGAGAAGGGTACTCTAGGGTTTGACTCACTTCAAGGTAGATGAAGGCCACTTCTAGGGTTTAGCTCTCAAGGTGGAGATAGGATGGGAGGTGGCCGAAAATAGCCAAGGTGACTAAGGATGATATAAAGGCAAAAATGCTCTCTTTATATTCAATTTCCAAAGTATTTACAAGGTGTGGTGCATAGGGTATTTATAGGAGTGGGAGGCATCTAGGGTTGCATTTAGGGTGCCAAATGCATACCAAATGAAACCCAAATTAACCCTAGATGCAACTTGGTGGCCAAGGATGGAATCTTTGGGTTTAGTTAGGCTACATCTAGGTGCATGA